TGCTTGTACCCCAGAGCCAGCCTCACACAGAGCCCTGGAAGCCCTGTGGGGGAGGGGGAAACTGGCACACCCCACTCCAGCCCTGTGGAGGCACAAGCCCCAACTCTTACTAAGGATGTTAGATAGCGATGAGTTGTCTTATCACTTCACAAAATATTATTGGTTACATGACTATCTGATAGTCCCCAAGGGCAGGGCGGGTAGCCACTGCGCTCCCAGCCCCATTCTCGGGGAGCCCCCGCCACTCCACATTGCTGCCTCTGTATCACAGGCAGCTGCTCAGGGTTGCAGGCAGAAGTCGGTCTGCAAGGGAAAAACTGGTTCCTTGTGCATACCAGCTCTCGCCTGCTGCCCCACGTTACTGCCTCTGATACGGCGTGGCAGCAGTTTCTGTCCACACTGGGCCTTTGATCGAGAGGCAGCAGTGTGCAGTGGGTGGGTGAACAGCTCACATGCACTGATACATGCAGGGAGTTGACTTGAAGGCTAGCTTCCCATGTGTACCAGTTCCCACCTGCCCTGCCCTCCTCCCTTCCCCCGCCTCACTGCTGCCTCTCTATCAGAGGCAGCAGCATGGGGGGAGGAGGGGAGCGCCAGGCAGCTCCATGGATTCAGTGCTTCTGGGGAGTCAGTTTAAAAGCTGGCTCCTCACAGCACCAGTATCAGCTCCCAGTCCTCTCATCCCCATGCTGTCTCTGATACAGAGGCAGCAAGGCAGGTGGGGGAGGGAATGTGTGTAGTGGACAGGATTAACCGGTAAACCCAGGCTTATCAGTCAATTGTGTACTCGTGTTGACATCCCTAGCTGTTACGTGGCCCCACTTACTGGAGACTCCCCAAGCTCCTCCCTTGGTGAGGCTGGACAGCCATGAAAGGCAAGTCCTTCAGGTGATACAAGAACAGGGGTGGGCAATAATTTTTAATTATTTTGGTAAGTGGTCAAGGGCTGCACTTCTGTGGAGGGACTGTAGGGTTTCGGATGGCAGGTGGGGTGTAGAAAGGAGCGTGGGATAGAGAACTGGGGTGCAAGAGGGAGTGTGGGGTCTGCGAGGGAGTTTGGATGAAGGAGTGTTATGATCTGGGGTAGGGGCTTGGAGTGCAGGGTCCAGAAAAAGTTGTGGGTGCAGATGAGAATTCTGGCCTAGGGCAGGGGTGTAGGATGAGGTGCAGTGTCTGAGAGGGAGCGGTGATCTGGAAGAAGGGGGAAAGTGGGTGCAGAGGGTTTGTGTGGTGATGTGGGGCAGGGAATGAGGTGCAGGGTCAGGGAGGGAGTATGGGTGCAGGAGAGGATTCTGGCCTGGGCTGAGGGGGGAGGGGGAAGAGTGTAGGAGGGGGTGCAGGGTCTGGGAGACAGTTGTGACCTGGAGGAGGTGGGGAGAGGGGATACAGAGGATTTGGGTGGTGGCTTGGGACAGGTAGTTGGGGGAAGAGAGGAGGTGGGCTGGGAGGCACATACCCAGGAAAGGGTATGGGTGCAGGAGAGGATTCTGGCCTGGGGCAGAGGGGATACAAGATCTGGAAGGGAGTTGTGACCTAGAGGAGATCGGGAAAGGGGGTACAGAAGGTTTGGGTGGTGGCCTGGGGCAGATAATTGGGGGGAATGATAGGGGAAGGTGGAGTGCCAGAGGCAGGATCTTGCTAGGAGGCGCTTACCCAAATGGCTCTCAGCCAGCAGCTCTACAGGAACTTAAGGAAGGCTGGTCAAAACATCTGGCTGCTCTATGTGGCTCTGCTCCAGCACTGGGGGAGAGGGAGGAGACTTAATTTGCTGCCCTTGCCTTCAGCAAAAATTTTTGGCGCATATTGGCCAGAAACTAGCTTGGGGATTTTGCTATGGGGCAGGGACAGTGCCCCATAAGGAAAAAGCTTTCTCCTTTCTATCTAAGGGTATGTCTACGCTACAGCGTTATTTCTAAACTAGCCAATTAGCCCGTCATAAGACGGGATTTTCAGGTCTCTCCTCCACGTCGGTCTTCTCTCCTGAGCCTCCAGTCTCTCGCTCTGTCTCTCCCTCTCCTCTTCCTCTTCCTGCCTCCCCGCCCCACCAGCTCTCCTCCTCCTCCTGCCTCTCTCTCTCTCTGTCTCTCTATTTCTCTTCTCCACCCCTTCCTGCCTCCCATGCTACATAGGGGGGGTACGGAGCCCAAACGGTCGCTTGCGCCACTTGCTCCCACGTGGCGGCCTGGCTGAGCAGCGCAGAAGTCAGCCGAGCGCCACGGCGGGAGGCGGGGTGGTGACGTTCACAGCCAGGGGGCGGGGCCTGGAGCCGCTGTCACACCGCATGTCACTGCCCCGCCCCTCCTTTGCCTCGCGCCGTGGCACTCGGCTGACTTCTGCTCAGCCGGGCCGCCACGGGGGACAAAGCGGCGCAAGCGGCCGTTTGGGCCCCGCACTACCCATGCAGCACAGGCCGCCCAGAAGGAACAGCCAGTATTTCAGTGTTACAGGCTCACAGACACTGGGCTACTATATGTACAATATCTTATTTTGAAATAACGCGTCTACACACAAAATGCATTTCAAAATAGCTTTTTGTTATTTCGAAATAGTGCTTCCACACTGAGTGGATACTGAATCACATTTAAGGCTGGCTGGAACCAGGTCCAGCAAGGCATCAGGTCAGGAGTTACTTTGTGTGGCTGCTGCCTGAGGCCTGTGCTTAAAGGGCCCTCCCTCTCCCCCGGACAGCCAGTTCTCAGGTTTCCCTGCTTGCTTGCCTACCTCAATGAGGGACAGCAAAGCATTTTGTGTGTGCGCTCTGGTTGCCTTCACTCAGGACACCACAGCACTCTGCAACATGGAGACAGAGCTGCCCCATGGCACTCTGGTGCTTCTCATGGATGCATTGCTGTGAGCCTGGCTGCACTTTCTGCAGGCTGCCATCCGGGAGGTCCATTGGGGGACTGTCAGTATCCAGGAGGCCCTGCGGGAGAGCTTCCACCCTGAGGAGCCCTAAGAGCCTCCCTGGTCTGCCCCACTGGGGGCTTGTGCCTCATTCCTCCCTCACGTCCTTCCACTTACCCCTCCCTAACCCCCCTTTCTGATGTCAAAAGACATGTATTTTCATGAACACAAACTCTCTTATTTAACAAAACTGGGAGGTGGATGAAACTCTGGTGAGACTGGGGAAAGGAGGCAGGAGAGGGGAAGAGAGAGGAGGGGGAAGCCTGGAAGGAGGGAGCTGGAAGGGGGAAGCAAGGGGAAGAAAGGGAAGCTCAGGGTTGGGCGTCTCACCAGACCAGACCAATCTGGTTTTCATGCAAACCTGCTCCTGGGTTCGCATGTGGCCTTGGGGGCCCAGGCTGGCAGCTATCCTGCCATAGACGGCTGCGTTCCTCCATCTAGTGCAGAGATCATGGACGTTGAGGGCATCCCCCCAAAAAAATAAGGTTCATGATCTCCACCCTGGACCAGAAAGGCACCCGCCTTCTCTAGGCCTTGGCAGTGCTCCTGGGAGCTGGCAGACTGCTCCTGGGGAACAGTGGCGGGCTGGCTGCCAGTGCCTTGCTGGCTCATGTTTTGGGGCCACTGGGTCGGGGCAGTGACTGCTGGCTCTGGGCTGGCAGGCTTGGAGCTGGTACAGGCACTGTGGTCAGAGTCAACCCCTTTAAGGACTCTGGGGAGGAAGGAGGGAGAGAAGTGTTCTTGGTTGAGGCTGGAGTGGCCACCAGGGTACCCTGGGAAGGCTGGAGGCCCCCTATTTTGAAATAAGTGTCTACACAGCACTTATTTCAAAATAGCTATTTTGAATTTGACGTTATTCCTCATGGAATAAGGTTTACAAAATTCAAAATAATGCTAGTAAAGTTATTTCAAAATAACTGCTGGTATTTCGAAGTAACTTTGCTGTGTAGACATACCCCAATTTAAAGTTTCGCCTAGTTTCAAGTGGCTGCAGCTGCTCTGTAGTAAGGATGGTGGCGAAGCAGCCTCAGGCCAGATCCAACCCACTAACCACCTCTTGCCCACCCCTGTACAAGAACCACTGCTGGTTGGTAGGCCCAGCTTGCACCACCTGGCAGATGCAGAACTGCACCTAGGCAAAATGTGAAGCTAGTTCCAGCAATGGCATTCAGCACAAAACCAATCCAGAAAGCAGGACCAATCTCATTTGCCTCCTTGTCTGCCTCTACATCAGGACAGAGGTACAGGTAAGCCAAATTTAAGTGGCACCAAGACCTCTTGCACAAGGCCACAACATTACTCAATTTTCTCAGAGTGTTTGTTTCATTAGATGACATACCAGTCACAATTCTATAAATTGTACTCAGTTAATTCTACTGATGTATAACCTGGAAAAGAATCTAGCTCAATCACATAAAGCCATATTTCCTCTGCAGCACTAAACAGAAGCATAAGCTCAACAGAAAAGTGAACAGATTTGCCGTTGGTTTAAATTCAGTTTCTGTTAGCTAAGATGCTGTTATATAATCTAGCAAGTTCAAGTAAGCGTGGTTCCAGTCTGAAGACAGATTCCAAAACCAGTCATTAGATCCAATGTTTGTCTCAACAATTCCTGAATCAGATGCATTTTAGTAACATCTTTTTGTTCAGACCGCCAGCCCTTCAAATGCAGCCTGGGATCTGAAAGTCAAACCCGGCTCTTTCCATCTCACATATTAACCCGAGTAATCAAGGTTCAACTGGCAAACTGTGCTCTCAGTTACAGTAAGGCGAACTCAAGTCTTCAAACTGTGCCTTTTAATATTTGTGAAACCTCACTGTCTTCAATGGGTTTGTACTGGCAATACATTGTAATGTAATAAACAATTCTGTTGTTGCACAGATAGAACAGATCCATCTCATTCAATCTTAAATGTGTCAGCTTTTCAGGGCTAGCAACAATAAAAGGATGACATTAAAAAAAAAATCAGAGTTCTTAGCTTGATCCTTGTAGCAAGAATTAATTATTTTCACATCACTTCTGAAAAGAATGGGTAACTGCACTTGAGCTCATTTTCTTACTATCAAATAGAAGATTACAGAAACTTAGTAATTACCTTCTGGTGGTTCATCATTAAGGTATGAAGGAATTTCCTCTTGATTTTTGTCTGTTTGATTCATTATTGCCTAAAAAAAGAAATTCACATTTATAGTACATATCATTTCTGGCAAAATATGAAACTTTTTTTCTTCAAATTTAAATACATGTATGTGACAGTTCCCTCAGAAGGACGTTCTTTTCTGTATGCGATAAAACAGCACAATCATTATCATTTTTAATCACTGGCTGTTTGTGGACTCAGATTTAATCTTCCCAGTTTCGGAAAATGGAGTCTTTAACACACAACAGACTACAAGCCTCCTTGCCTAACTGGCATGTCTTAACCCTGCCTTGGAGGGATTGCCTTTTTAAGAGTTGATGGAGAAGAGGAGGTTACTGACGTTCTTCGAGATGAGCATCCCTGTGGGTGCTCCACAGCAGGTGTCGTCACATCCCAGCACCGTAGACTGGACTCTTCAAAGCAGTGCCTAGAGGGGTTGCACATGCATAGCAGCAGGGCACGTGTGAGCACCGCGTGGTTCAACAACTTTGATATGTGTCCATTCCACCAGGGCTGTAGCCACATCAATAGCTTAGCTCCGCAAAGTTCCCATTGAGGACATATATGCAGTGGCCACATGGACTTCTGACCAAATGTTTGCCAAATACTATGCACTTTCTCAGAGCCTCGCTCTCATCAGAGCCTCGCTCTCATCAAACAGTTGACATGGCCGCATTATCTACAGCATATTCACCAGATTCAAGTCCCTACCTCGGTAGGATATACCCCTGTGGAGCACCCACAGGGACTTCTTTTTCTTTGGGAGATGTTACTCACCTTTAGCAGTAACTGATGTTCTTCAAGAGGAGCATCCCTGTGGGTGCTCCACAGCAGGCGATGGCAAAGCAATATGTCCAAGGAAGGTAGGGACTTCGGATCTAGCAGGTAAGCTGTAGACAACACTGCCTTGGCAACCCTTGTTGAAGAAAGAGGTCCATAGTGCTTTGCAAACATTTCATCAGGGGCCCATCTAGCTGCAGCGCATATGTCCTTGAGAGGGATCTTTTGGAGGTAAGCTATAAACATGGCCATTGCCCTGGTGGAATAAGCTGGTTGTGCTGATAGCGTAAGGCTACACAGTCGGAAATCCAGTGAGACAGTCTTGGGAGGATCTCTGTTGTTCTTTTTTGCGTTCCACAATTGATATGAAAAGTTTGGGCAAAGCCCTAAAAGGCCTCGTTCTGTGAATGTAAAATGAGAGAGTCGTCCTGAAGACATCTAGTGTATGCATACTTGCTTCGAAAGTATTGGCATGAGGTTTAGGGAAAAATACAGGCCAGTGAATAGTTTGGTTTATGTAGAACAAAGAACATACCGTGGGAAGGAACTTGGGGTAGGTGTGTAGGGTAACTGTATCCTTAAAAAGGGTGGAGTAGAGAGGATCCACCATCAGGGCTGCTATTTCTTCCACCCACCTGGCGGATGTAACTGCAACCAAAAATGCAGTTTTCATAGAAAAATAAAGAAGTGTGCAAGTGACCATTGGCTCAAATGGAGGGTTGGTGAGTGCACTGAGAACCAAATGAAGGACCAATGGCTCCCTTGGTGGAGTTACGTCAGTATATAAAGACTGGACGCCCCTCAAAGTGCTTTGTCAGATGTGCAATGACTGTGCTATTGTCTATTTTTGAATGATTACTGCAGCTAAGTACACCCTAATAGAGCTGACAGAAAAGTTGGACTGTTTTAAGTGCAGGAGGTAGTCAAGGATGACAGGGAATGGGGCAGTCTCAGGAAAGACGTTACGAGGGATGGCCCAGTATGCAAAATGTGTCCATTTGTCAGAGTATGTTTTCCACGTCAAGGCAGCATGACTGTGCAAAAGTATGTTGCGTGCTTGGTAAGAGCATTGTAACACTACAACAGAGACATCCAGGAACTAAGCCTTTAGATGGAGTCGAGGAACCACAGGTGTTGGGTCTGTATGCCGGGTTGGTATATCAGCCTGAGGTTTTGTGGCAAGGGAATTGGCAGAAACAGTGCCATTTTGCTGAGAAAAGGGAACCAGGGCTGTCTGGGCCAGCATGGAGCTATTACATGAAGCTATTAGAATAACTCTGGCCTTGTCCCTCCTTATTTTGAGTATTGTGTGGAGAAGGAGGGGAATATGAGGGAAGGTACAGAGGAGCCAACTATTCCATTTCATGGTGAGAGCATCTCTGAGGGAGCCTTTGTCTATTCCCGACCCGGAGCAGTATAGGGGGCATTTTTTGTTGGGGCTTGTTGCGTAAAGGTGTATTAGAGGATGACCCCAATGCATGAAGAGCATGTCTAGTGTCTCCTGGTCTATCTGCCACTTATGCTGTTGAGGTAGTAATTGGCTTAATGCATCAGGTGTGGCGTTCAGTGCATCTAGTAGATAACAAGCACTAAGAATGATGCCATGGGAAAGGCACCAATTCCATAAGGTAACAGTCTCTATACAGAGGACGTCGGAACTGTCTGTTTATGTAAAACATTCTGGCAACAGTGACAGTATATTTCTTGACGTGCTTGTGTGCTACTGCTGGAAGAAAGTGTTGACAGCCTAGTCTTACGGCTCTCATCTCCAGTACATTTATGTGGAGAGCCCTTTCTTTTGGTTTCCAAAGGCCCTGTGTTATTAAATCTCCCATGTATGCCCCCCATGAGGGAGGTGTCTGTTGTAATGATGGCAGAGGATTCTGGTGGTTGAAACGGGATTCCTGTGCATAAATCCTGTGTCTTTGTCCACCACAGTAGTTCATTTTTTATTGTGAGTGGAATAAAGAGAGGCCTGGTGATTGCATCTCTGATCTGGATTTGATTAGGCAGTCATCAAGATAAGGAAAATTGACATAATTGTATTTTCTTAGGTAGGCGATAACTATGGCTAGCATTTTGGAGAAGACCCAAATATGTTCTATTAGCCCTTTTGCAGGTGGGCGAAATGGTTGCAGGGGTCTGCCAAATCATTTCCATGGGGTCCATAATAGCAAGGTTTATGGGGGAGGTGATCTTGGCGGTAGGGGTGGCCTGCAGTATGTTGGTAAACTCACGTTGGATCTCAAGAGATTTCCTCCATGGCAATGTTGAGATCCGCTGCTACCCTTTTAAAAAGATCCTGAAACAACATGAAGTCGTTCACCACCATCAAAGGTGATGACATTGCTGCTTTGTCTGGCGAGGATGATGAGTTGGTGTCAGAAGACGTATCTGGTCATGATTCACAGTTTTGCTGGTCTGGTGCATCTCCTGACTCCTCTGAGGCGATGGAGATTGGGATGAAAGGGAGTGCACGGGTTGCTTGTTTGTCTTCTTAGTGTGTTTTCTCTTGTAACCATATCACAATCGGCTCCAGTACTGCCACTGTTTGCCATAATGGCATGGGCAATGGCATCCAGGGGTGTGGCCCCCAATGAGTGTTTGAAATTAGGATGTGAAGACAGTACTGAGACCTTGCTGCCAGGTGAGAGTTGAGGTGAGATAGTTCCCCTCCATCATTCTCATCGCTAGATAGTAGTGCAGGAGGAGAAACGTGCCTCTGTGCTGCGGTGGCTGGCAATGTACTGGTGCTGAGAAATGGGGAGTTACAGGTGGAAGAAAAGGCAAGGTTCTTATGATGATGGTACCTTGGAACCAATGGCTGTGAATCTTTCGGTACCGATGACAGTTGCGGTGCAGTTTTGGTTGTGGCACCGGTGGCTGCACTCACAGTACTGGAGTCTGGTGCCACTGTAGGGTATGGTGTTGAGTGATGTATTTTCGGTACTGATGTTTCTGCCTTTTGTTTGTCTGGTGCCGCTATGGGCCCTGAGCTTCTCAAGGCAGCCACATTGTGGCCTGTAGCCTCTCTGCATGGTTTCTGCGCACTCTGGATATACTGCACTGGGTGCCGGAGGTGTCTAGCATGTCATATGTGGTGAGGCCCGGCACAGCCTCAACTCTTGGTGCCGACTTCTCAGTCACACACTGCTTAGGTGACTGATTTAAGAGATAGAGAGGTGGCACGCTTCTCTGAGGATTTTTTCCCTTTATCAGATTTCTATCTTTTGGGCCATTGGATGCCCAGGCCAGAGGCAGGGTGCTGTGCTTTTCCAAGCACTAGCATCTTAAGGTGGAGTTCTCTAGCCCTGTGTGTACGCACCTTAAGGTTGGCACAATGGTGGCAGTCCTGTTGCACATGGCTCTTGCATAAACATTTAACGCACTTGGCGGGTCCATCGGAGAAAGGCATCACATCATTACAGGTGGAGCAGCTTTTAAATCCTGGTGATTCAGGCATTTCCATCCAACCAGGGTAAAAACAACTTGGAAAACCGGTTTTTTGATAGGAAGATAAACTTGGATGAGCAACGAAGGAAAGAACAATGAGAATGAGTGAAAACGAACTACTTATCTACAGAGAACAACGCTGAGCGAAGAGCACTCCTGAACTCCCTCTTAAATCAGGGACAGTAAGAAGGAACTGAGGGAAGGGTAGCTGTGCATGCATGGTTGCACAGTGTGGCGCTCACACACCCTGCTGCCACACGTGTGGCCCTCCAGGCACCTCTTTGAAGAGTCCCATCTACAGCACTAACAACTGCTGTGGTGCACCCACAGGAATATCTCGCTCTCGAAGACTAAAAGGGGGTTGTGAAAAAGCCAATGGGATACTGCAATAAATCAATGAAAAACAGATTAAATGACAGTAGTGCAGGAGAGCAGTACTGTATCCAAGAGAGTCTTCAGAATCTAGAGAGACAATTTAAGCAATAGGGAAAATACTGCAGAATTTGAATTGGTAAAAGTTTCAAGTCATAATAATTCACCCAGTAAGGTCCTATTACTGGTTTCCCAATTAGGGAGAGGCAGCAACAGTGATACCATAATGGAGTATTTTAAGCATGCTGATAGAGGCCCATCAAGTTGCTTTGCTACAATTGCTTCTTGGGACACCTAGTTCTAGAGCACACAAGAGGAGAGACCTCTCCTCTCAGTCCTCAGCAAGGATTATGTTCAAGTACCAACCACAACTGAGTCCCTTATAGCTACCATAATATAAATTAAGTTAGATAGTCTCAAATGAAAGCATAAATCTCAATCCATACATACCTTTAAAACGAAAAGGAATTAGGAAGGAAAGAAAAAAAAAAGCCACCAGTATGGCTGGCTAAATGACAAGGATCACGACGTTCTTTGAGCCAAAAAGGTATCTTTCAAAAAGTGGAAATCCAAACCTGGAAAACAATAGAAATGAGCATGAGCTATGGCAGATAAAATGTAAGACTGCAAATAGGAAGGCTAAAAGGAATTTAGTGAAATATAACTTTCAGAGGAATGTAGTCTGTGAGATGCTATGCCAGTAGGAAGCAACTGGGGAGCATAAGGACACCAGAGAAAAGCTAAGTTATTTCTTTGCATGAATCTTCACTACAGTTGGACCTTGCTGGTCTGGCACCCTTGGGACCTGACATGGGATGTTAAATTTCAAGTGATTGACTAACTGAATAGTCGATTCAATTTGCATTGACTATTCGATTAGTCAATAGGGCGCCTCCGCCTTCAAAGATGAACACACTGTAAGAGCACAGGGCCAGCAGGGCAGCTCCCCACTGACCCCAGGCTCCATGCAGCGCTGCCACTTTGAAACGCTGCGGGGAGCCCGGCATCAAGGTCCTCGCAACATTTCAAAATGGCAGCACCCCATGGAGTCCAGAATCAGCTAGGGACTCTCCTGCTGACCCCAGGCTCCGTGCATGCTGCCGCTTTGAAACACCGCATGGAACCTGGCTCCGGGCTCCCTATGGCATTTCAAAGCAGCATGACCCCTGGCTCCCTGTGGCACTGCAACTTCAAAATGCCACGTGCAGCCTGGGAACACCTCACCTGGCCCTGGGAATTTGATGGACTAGGGAAGGTCCCTCCCATCCTGGCCTGTGTTGCCACGGGATTAGGGCTCCAGCCTGCCCCCACTGCTGCCCCACCCTCCTCTAAATGCTGTCAGCCCTGCTGCTGCCAGGGCAGAGCGCCACAGCAAGAGCTCCGCAGCCACCTGGCTCCACAGGCAGGGCCGGAGCTCCCCACTGTGCCTCCCATCTCACCCACCCATCCCCCCTCCCCCACACACTGGGTTGCTAGTGCCCCCTAACATGCTCCTGCTCCGCCACCAGACCTCCTTTTTCCTGGGCTCTGTGGTCCAGGAACATCCGTGGACCATGGATTTTGCCGGACCAGGAAGACCTGATACAGGGAGGTACAACCTGTAGAGACTTTGTGGAAGACCTATATCTAGTATTGTTAGGTAACATAAAGGTAATATGAAGACTCAAAACATCCACAGAGAAGGTGCAACACACAGAATCCAAAAGAGAAGTCAATTGGTCCAGATATTATATAACCAAGATTTCTAAACAAACTAAAGAATGAAGTGATTGCAATTTGTTACAACACTATTTAGCAAATCAGTCTTTAAAAGCAATTATACCCTGTGAGTACTGAAAGATAGCATCTATTTTTAAAGCTAGGATTTACTGACTGGTAGATCTTTCAAAGCCAGTTCCCCGCCCCCCTCCCAGCACCATCTCCAGTGGGACAGGGGAGGCAGAGGCAGTGGCGGGAGGGGGGGGGGAGAAGAGAACCAGGCATGAGCTGGGAATCAGCTGATTCTACATCTACATGACTGGTTTGTTTCAATGCTGTTATTCAGAACCCTGGGGAAAGGAGTGAAACTGACAAAAATCAGGTCGATTTTACTTTGCTACTGCTACTTGCAAAGACTATGAGAAGCAGCTGCAGCAAGCACTAGAACTATTTACCCGGGGAAAGTGCTCCAAACCAACCAATTACCATGACAGGTATGGGAAGGGGTGGAGAACTACCCTTCCACTGGATGTTCCCAGTCAGGACGCTTGGACTATGTCTACACTACAAGGTTTTTGCACAATAACTGGAGGAGCATCCACACGTCAAGCATCTTTTCGCGCAAACCCCTTCCCCCTCCAAAACAGTAAATCGACAGGACAGAGGGCTTTTGCCAGTACAGTTATTCCTATCCCTGTGAGGAATAACTCCTTTTTGCGCTACAGCTCTTGCGCAAAAAGGCACGTGTGGATGCGCCGCAGGGGTTTCTTGCGCAAAAAGAGTGTATCAGAAAAAGCGCCTTTGCGATGCATTTTTGAGGTGTGGATGCACTTATCCTCAAAAAGCTTCTTGCGCAAAATCTCTTCCACAAAAAGCTTCTTGCGCAAAAACCCTGCAGTGTAGACAAAGCCTTGGAGACAGAGGTCATGAGGAAAAGAATTCCTCTTACCTTCCAGCAAACACAGAATACTTCAAAATGTATCCCACACCTACTAGCCATCAGCTGATACAAAAGATACAGCCCCCAATATAAGATGTAAAGAATAGCACCTTGGAAAGAATCTTAACACTTTTTACTATAAAATAAGTGTGGAATAAGAAAGGGAGACTAAAAGGAAAGCCCTCCCACTGAGGTTCTTATCAGAGTATTATTCCTAGGACACATTGATTACCTCTGACTACTAATTAGAGATTTTAAAATACATTTATTATCGTAAATGTGCAACCATTGAAATTTTCAGTGATTACACATGGGGGAGGGAGGGAGGGCCAGCTCTACAGGAGCCAGTACATATGGAGAGTGCGTACCAGCTCGCACCTGCCTTCCATGCTGCTGCCTCTGTATCAGAGGCAGCAGCAGCAAAAGCAGCTCCTTAGGAGCCGGTGCTCACAGGGACCCTGTTTAAAAGCTGGCTCCCTGCAAACACTGTCTCCAGCCTGCCCTCCCTCCCACTCTGCTGACTCTGATACAGAGATAACAGCACGAGGGAGCGAGGGCTTGCAGTAACTGAAGGTTAACCGATGAACCCAGGTTCATTGGTTAACTGTTTACACCATCGCATCCCTACTACTTATATTCCTCTTTAAACCCTGGATTAATGCTATATGTTATGGCTGGTCTGGAGCTAAGTAGTATTAGTTCAACATCTACCCTGACCCACTGTGGGTCATGTTACTTTACAGAAGAAAAGCATGTCTTGTGTTTTCAGCTTCTCTGAAGAAATCTATTTCAGTTACTTTAGGCGACTAGTTTGGAGTTGTTGGTTGTTTCAGAAACTTGGCAAATGCATCAGCAGCATCATACACTTAGCTAGAAGTGCAGTAAGGATACAATAGTGTGCCCAGTGTAGCTATTCTTTTCCCTGCATAATATTTTAAGTAAAACAAACAAAAAAAACCCAGTTTTTGAGCCTCTCTAAAAATTAATACAGATGGCAAGATCAGCCTGAGAATTGACATCCTATTTCTGAGGCCAAGGTGCAGTTTGCGGAGCAAATCTGAGGTCAGTTATCAAAGCATACCTGAGATACAGATCCGACTCCATATAACCAGCTTTAGTAAATGTTTGGTGCAGAAAGGAAGGCGTAACCAGCAAAACACTTAGATCCCTTCTCTGCCTCTTTTGTGATCTACAGAGCCCTGTATATCCATGGATATCCACTTTATACCCATGGGAATCCATTTTTGCAGCTAGAGATGTGGAAGTGGATACAAAAATTGGTATCGGCACAGGGCTCTATTGATCTAGTGCCCAGGCTCAGGCTCCAGGAGTATAAGAAGAAAGATACTGAATGTTTTTTTGGGTCTAGAGATGAGCCATTCCTGGATCAATGCTCAAGCACAGAAGTGCTAGCTGCAAATCAAACTTCTATGGAAGAAAGTATAGTACCACTAAAAGCAGGCTCACTGAGGAAGTGTGCAAGAAGAAGCCAGTTAGCAAACACTATCACATTAAAAAAATAAAACGTTAAAAGTCTGAAGTATAGTGTTCAAGGTAACATTTCTGCCACACAACAGCAACCTTAACTCTACCCTGTAGTAATGCCAAGAACAATTGTGAATATTGCAATAGGTAAACCTAATAGAACCTAACATTTTCTATACACACAACAACTGGAAATCAAAACTCCTTATGTATTCTAATGGACCCTCAATGCACTCTGAGCTAGGGATACGAATGACTAGTCGACTACCCGTTAATTGGGGCTGGTTGCTACACTTAAAGGCGGAGAAGCCCTTATCGACTAACTGAATAATCAATGAAAATTGCATTGACTATTTGATTAGCCAATTAATCTAAATTTAACATCCCTACTCTGGGCAGCATCACTACTCTGGAGAATACTTGCTGCTGGTAGTCAGAGACCACACTGCAAAAAAATGTTTAGGGAGGTGCAAGGTACTGAATTAAATTGGACAGAGCTGTGATCTGCAAGGAGACCCTCACTTTAAATTTTTTTGTTTTTCAATGTGTGTTTTGCAAATTAAACGCATGACAAGGGAAGCGGCTTGTCCCCCACTACATAACAGCTTTCAAAATATTAAGAGTTTGACCCTCACCCAGGGGCGACCCATCCATATAGGCGATCTAGGCGGCCGCCTAGGGCGCCAAGTTAAATGCGGTGAAAATGGGGCGCCAAATGGTGGTGCAATATCGTTGAGGGGTTTGGAGGTGGGGGCGCTGATTGCATGGTTCACCTAGGGTGCCAGTTGCTGGCAGCTAGTCTAGGGCCACTCTTCCTCTCACCTCCCCTCTGCCAGTGAAGTCATCCTTCATTGCCTACTTTTTTAAAGTTTTCCAAATGAGCACCTTCGTGCTTTTTCCAGTGCTGTCTCTTATACATGGTAGAAGCTAGGGATATAAGCAACTAGTCGAGTCACTACTTAACTAGTTGTTTTCCTCCGCCCTTGCTACCTCTGTATCAGAGGCACCAGGTGGGGGATGGGGGCAGGGAGGGTTGAGGGGAGGACGAGGAACAGGAGCTGGTGCTGTAGGAGCTGGCTCAAAAGCTGGTTCCCCACAACATCGGCTTCGTGGAGGGGAGGGGGAAAGGAGAGGCTCAGCGGGGAACCCACACGTGTGGGGATCTGACTGATGCACCTGTACATTTCAAAGGGAGAAGAGCCACCTGCGGCTCTTGTAAATGTCAAAGGGAGAAACTCAGTAGTCATGACCCTGCAAAGTGGAGACTGCTTCGGTCCCCACTCATGCGAGTTCTCCACTGCGCCTCTTCCTTTGAAATGTACAAGGGCCGCAGGCGGCTCTTCTACATTTCAAAGGCAGAGGAGCAGCAGGATAGCGAGCACCCCGTTATCGACTAATCGAGTAGTCGATGGAAATTCCATCAACTACTCAATTCGCTGATAAATTTAGATTAAACATACCTTGTAGGAGCTCCTTGTCCTCTTTCAAATTCCTCATTAACTCGTCTTTACTAAGATGTCTAAAAACTAACAACAACTTGACTCTGCTTATTTTCTACACAGATTGCAGGCTTTTGGGGGACAGAGGTCGTCTTTTTGTTAAGAATCCGTATTGCGTCTAGTACAGTGGTAGGCAACCTGCGGCCTGCCCAGTGGGGTTCTATTTGTGGCCCACAAGACACTTTGTTTACCCTTGCTCATGCGGTGGGGTTGCCAAATTCCTCTGGTTTCCATCCATGTAGTTTTTTTTCTACCAGTAATATTCAAGTGGCACAAATGTAAATCAAAGGTATGTGAAATCAGGTGCATGGTGATTGCACATAACATTGACTGTGAGAGCCATGCGCTCCCACTGCATCCAATTCAAACACTGCTACACTTCAACTGGCACACCCTGGGAGTTCGAGATATGCAAGTGCATTTAGCAAAGTTACTCTATCCTGGGAGTCCATCTTGATTATAACAATCTTGCAGCCCCTGAAGTGAAGGAGGGACAGTCACGTGGCCCACTCACTATCCTGGTCTAATACACAGAGTCTACAAGTCTCAGAGAGGTAGCCATGTTAGCCTGCCCATGAAACTATCTATTTTGTTAGTCTTTGAGGTGCTGCAGGACTATATGGAGTCTATGTTGATTACTCAGGTTCCTAGGCCCTACCACAATACCAATATAGAGTTGAGTGCCTGCAAACTTGATTTAATGGCAGTAAAGGGTTTTGGCTTTTTAAGTATGAATTTGTTCTTGTGACAGACAAGTAAACAAGCATTTACTCAGTAGCATTAGAAATTCACTTATATATAAGCTAATGTCAAATATGTATATTTAAATTGCCTGTCCACTTAAAAATTCTGCTGTACTTCCAAACCTTTCAAAAAGGGGAGATTTATGAAAACATATTGCTTCTTTCAGACCAATTTCGATTCAGTGAACTGTTTCAATAGCAAGCATTTCAGTTTAATGCTAAAGGTAAATAAAAAAAACCATGTAGTAACTCTACATTACTATACACATTCTTCAGTTGTTTTCTATATGAATTCTGCTATATCTTGATTCATAGGGCTGCAAGTGAGAGCTTAACACACAAGTGCAGAGACTGGCCAAGTAACACACACATATTTTGTTTATTAGCCTAGTGCAACCATCACAGCTAATTGCATGTTTTATAAAATAATGAGTTTGTTTTCAGGCCACCCCATGTAGTCATTAAGTCAACAATGATGGAGTGTAAATAAGGAATTATTTGCATGCAATTTGTGGAACATTATTTGCATATTTTGCCATAACAGCCTATTTATGGGACAATTCAACTTACTATGGGGAGCACTGGAAAAAACTGACAAGCGTTCAATACTTTAATATTACTAATGTATCCTAAAACAGTTATGAATTGATAAATGATAGAGAGAGAGAGAAAGAATTTAAGAGTAATGATCAATGGAGGAAAGATTTTCAGATAAAGTCATGAAACAGAATTATTGACGCAGAGAGTAGTCCTTTTGCACCTTAGCTAATCATGAGCTTTTGTGGGAAAAACCCACTTCTTCAGATAGTAGGAGCTTGATGAAGTGGGTTTCACTCATGAAAGCTCATGATTCTAGATACTTTTAAGGTGTCACAGTATGACTTGTTTTTAAAGTTACAGACCACCACGGCTACCCCTCTGAAGCAGAAAGATGAAGGAAAAGAGTAATCCCAACAGAGAAGACTTTCACACCAACTGTTGCAATAAGATTCAGTGGAAGAGTGGTGAAAGGGTCAGCACCAGACTAGTTAAAAGGGAAGAGGAAAAACAAACAAACAAAAACCATCCTTCAGCTAGCCTGAAGTCCATGGAGAAGTTAAGAACCCAAGCGCTTCTGAATGACATCCTGAAATTCACTGAGGACTAGAGGAGGAATCCAAAGATGTGATGCAGTCCAATATCTTTGCCCTTGCAAACACAGGTAGCAGTATATCATCAGCTTTCCAGTCCATTGTGACATTCAGATACACATTAACATGTAACTGACTCTGGACTGAACCAAAGCATATTGTTCTGAAGCAAAACCCTGCTCCATCCCCTAGTGTTTTTTCCCCCCCCTTCCATTTTATATTTGGAAATCTCCCAACTCAGATGTTAGGCCAAAGAACATATAAGCAGTCTTCCACATACTCTGAGAGGAGATAGTGTTATTGTTTCCTCTCTATTTCGGGTAAGCTCTGGGCACTTCTGGCAGACTGGCCCAATGCAGCCAGGTGGGGCCTGAAAACAAACTTGAGTGACATTCTAACCATTGCCTTCCTAACCACAGCTCCTTTCAGTGGGGACCCTGAAGCCACAGAGAGAACTTTCTTGGGCAGCAGGAGTGACGTGGCAGGAGAGGCAGTGATTTAACCTGGAGCCGGGCGCCTGGGCTCCTTCTTTGCCCCCACCCCCTTCTGCTCTTCCACGTTGTACATAACCTCCAGCTCCTGACACAAAGTGTGACTGTGTACAGCTCCCCTGCCAGGCGCCCGGAAGGCCGGGCTCTGCTCTCTTACACGGGAGCGAGCCCCTGCTTCGGGGTCACATGCAGCCAACGCCGCTGGTACTAACTTCCCTCCGGGGCTTGGCGAGGGATGAGCGAGTGCTACAGCCAGCCGCACGCGCACCCCCTTCCCTTCTGCATCGCGGAGGGCAGCAGCGCTCCCCCCCAAGGCACAATGGGGCCCAAGGAAGGCAGAGGCAGGGCAAGAGGAGCCGAGGGGCAGGTTACACAGGGAGGGGCCTCTGGGCAGGACTTTCCTTTGTGCTCTCAGCCACCCACCCCCACCAGGATGTTTGCTCGGGGGGGGGGGGGGGGGCTCCAAACGCGCGGCTCTGCCCCTCCCTCCACAGGGGCCCGGGGAGCCTCCAGCAGATGGGGGAAGGGGACGCTAAGGACACCCCCTTCCCCACTGTCGCGACAGAGCCCGGTGGGGTAATGGGAAGGCAGCTCCTCTAGCGACCCGCCTCCCAGCCCGGGAGTCCGCCCCGCCAGCGCTGGGCAGCGGGGTGCGCTACTCACCCGCCGCGGGGAAGGGGAACGCGCCCGCAGCCTGCAACCCGCTCCCTGCCCGGCGCAGACTTTACTCTCCTGCGCCGCGGCTCTGCTGCCGACGTGGCGCCCTACGCTGCCCGCCCCGTCCGCCCCGCAGACCCCGCCCCAGCCCGGCCCCCACCTTCCCAGTGGGGCGCGCAGGCGCCGGTCTCTCCGCTTGCCTCCAGGGCTCGCCTGGTCCTGCCCTTGTTCCTTGGGGTGACGGGCCGGGGCCCCTCCTCACATGTCCCAGTCCGCTAAATGATGGGCCGTCGTTCCTGGTGTAGGAAACACAATCCCCGTGGCAGAGCCCTCAGTGCTGCTCTACCCTACAAAGTGACCCCGGCTGGATTACAGCTCGGGGAAAGGTCAGGCCTCTTGCTATGGGGTTCAACTGACCCAGACCTTCCCCCGCCCCGTCCTTGGCGAAAGGTGAAGAGCTGAGTCCCGGGGCTCTGATTGTTTACGGGAGAAGGGGAGTCCCACTATGGTGCGGGCAGTCACCCTACCCTCTAAAGGAGTTGCATTTCATTTATGCTTTATGTATGCAGGGCAATTTTCTTCCCTCTGTTTCTGAAAAGAAAGGTGAGTCAAAACCAGTAGCTCCTAGAAAAAGCAGATGGAAGAGTGCAGAAGTTACTGCTTAACAAAGGGCGGGGAACCTTTTTTGCGGCAGGAGCTTCTGGGGCAGGCTCCCCAATGTGGGGCCTTCATGGTTGGATCCAGGCCTTAAATTTCCCCACCCCTGGCTTACGGCTTCCTTCCCGTTGCTTCTCTACTGCAGCCCCATTAGCTTACCTCCAGATTCAAAGGGGTGCATAGTGCAGATGCGGGTTAAGTTGGTCCTTTCCATGTCCCTCAGATTTTTTTTTATATGAAATCCAGTCAGACTAGACAGCTGCTAAAATCTACTTCTAGAATCAAAGATTTCCCTCCATGGCTGCTATTGTCTAGCTGCAGAGGGAGTCAGTAGGATAGCCGTGCATAAGCATGGGTTTGGCAAGGGTGTCAAGAGGACTGCTGGCTTAAAGAGCTAAAATCCATGCCCACTACCTGTTTGGAGATAAACTCTGTCCCTCTAGCTGGTTTTGAGACAGAAACTCATAGCATTTCCTGGCCCTTGCATGGGAAAGTCCCTGTTAGGGTAGAATAAGGCCCCTAGTTTGTATTACTATAAAATCCTCTAGGATTTAGAGCAGGGAGGGGAAACCTAAGGCCCAGGGTCCAGATGCAGTCCCTGGCTTGGTTGGATCTGACTTCTAGGGCTCAAGGCTCCTCCACCCCAACATTGGGAAGCCCGCCCTGGCACTCCAGCCCTCGCTGCCTACCACCTGACTTATTTTTCTGTGGGTCAGCATCCTTTGACCCACATAAGATTCCCCATCCCTGATTTAGAGGGTATCAGAGATGCAAATTATAGGTTGTCTCCCCCTAAGCCAGGACTGTCTTGTCCGGTGACATCTCTCATCTGGCAACATCAGCTGGGGCCAAGGCAGGCCAGCAACCCAATTGGGGCTGTGTGCTGGTTTGGCAGCAGGGCTGGTGCTGCCATGGCAACTTAGGTGGGACCAGGGCAGCTCAGCCAGGCCCACCTGCTGCCCAGCAGCGCAGCTGCAGCCACAGCAGCGGGGCTGGGGCTACTTGGTTGCTATGCCAGCAGTGGGATTGGGGCAGCCATGTCACCCAGCCAGCAGCAAGTTTGTAAGAGCTTGTGGCAGGGAGGGGCTGCAAGCTGAGGGGACCTTCCCTGGTTTGGCAGATTCCCTCATCTGGGACTGCTCAGGTCCTCGGTGCTGAAACCAGGAAGGTCCAACCAGTATTATTATTTAAAGATACCAAATGCACATGATTCCTATTCTGAAGTTTCATTCTCCATAAAGCAAAACACACCAGGAGCTCTCTTGGCTGTTAGCATATAATGGCAATTGTGAAAAAGCCCCTTGTCTCACTCCACCTGCACAAGAGCTCTCTCAACATAGAGCCTTCCTCATCAAGTCCCTCTCTGACCACAATCAGCAAAGGAGCTCTCCCCAAAAACTGCTGAGCTGTACCCACTGCTACTCTAGTTTTTCAGGAATCTGCCTTTCATCCTTTCAACTGCTCTGTTGCATCCTTTACTGGTGAATCCCTTCATTTGAGATAAATATTTTTTTCTGTTCATTCTGAGCCTTTAGATTGAGGTGAATCAAAGGACTGGAAGGGACCTCAGGAGGTCATCTAATCCAGTCCCCTGCACTCATGGCAAGACTAAGTATTATCTAGAGTCTAGACCATCCCTGACAGGTATTTGTCTAACCTGCTCTTAAAAATCTCCAATGATGGAGATTCTATAACCTCCCTAGGCAATTGATTCCCGTACTTAACCACCCTGACAGGAAGTTTTTCCTAGTGCCCAATCTAAATCTCCCTTGATGCAATTTAAGCTCATTGCTCCTTTTCCTATCCTCAGAGGTTAAGAAGAAAGTTTTCTCCCTCTTCCTTGTAACAACCTTTTATGTACTGTCTCTTTGAAAATACTGCCAACTCTCCTGAACTGGTTTTCCTCTGAGACTTGCTTTCCTTGGGACCTTACCTACCAACATCCTGAGTTTGCTAAAGTCTGCCTTCTTGAAATCCACTGTCTTTTATTTTGCTGTTTTCCCTCCTTCCATGCCTTAAAATCACTAACTCTATCATTTCATGATCACTTTCACTCAAGCTGCCTTCCACTTTCAAATTCAAATATAACCGCTTCTTTAGATACACTGTTCAGCCTCTCTTTGATGGAGAAGCCTGAAGTTCTGAGAGAGTTGTGTCTTCAGATGATCAGTCTGCCACCATGAGAGGTGTGTTGTAACTGAAACCTTTTATTGTCTATAGGCTTTAAAATAAGGGCTGTCTGCAGATGTTTTACCTACTATTGTTACACATAACCGTTTAAGGAGTCTATAAATTTAAGGTCAGAAAATATCCTTTTCAGTTTTTTTAAACATTTAGTTTCAGTATAAAAACTCATCAGTTCTATTTTTCACATTGCATACAGAAAAAACTGCTTTAAAAACCACAAACGTTGGCAGGAAGGCCTCAGAAACAGGTGTAGTAACTGCCACTGCTTTTATAAATTGACTATCCCTTTTAACCTTTGTATGCAGTACTTTAAAAGGAGAGGGGAATTAAAAAGGGAGCCAAATTTTTTTTGCACATCAAAAAGTTTCAGTTTGGGTGAACATACACATAGAATTTTATTTTCACTTATTGTAACAAGCTCCCTTTTCTCATGCATTAATTTACTTCCTTCCCAGCCTTTGAATGCCTCCTTAACATACACTTCTTCCTCTATGAAAGCTTCAATAAAGATTTCTCTAATCTGTGTGCTAATTACATGACCTTCCATCACTGTATTAGTATTTGAGCACCTTGCTAATTATTTAAAAATAGCAACACTCCTTTTCTTTTCCCCTTGAAAGCATGTAGGAGTTATAGCACTAGCTTAGAGGTCATTTGATTTTGTGTATGAAGAAATAAATGAAGGAAAGTTAAGTCTATAAAAAGTATTGTTTAAAAAGTGAAAGTTAAATCCTATTGAGGACAATAGAAAGGAACATAAACTCTGTCAAATTAAGTGTAAAATATTATAAGAAAAGCCAAAAAGGAGTTTGAAGAACAGCTAGCCAAAAAAATCAAAACGAAATAGCAAAATGTTTTTTAAGTACATCAGAAGCAGGAAGCCTGCTAAACAACCAGTGGGACCCCCAGATGATTCAGATGCCAAAGGAGCACTCAAAGGCTACGTCTGCACTACAAGGTATTTGCACTTTTTGTGCAAAAACTAGCAGAGCGTCCACACCTAAAGCACGTTTTTGTGCAAGAAAATCGACAGAGGGCTTTTGCTGTTAGAGTTATTCCTCTCCCCACATCGAATAACTCCTTTTTGTGCTACAGCTTTTGCGGTAGGTGTAGATGCTCTGGAGGGGTTTTTGCATAAGAAACCCCTGTCAGAAAAAGCACGGGTACTCTGATGGCCATTCTGTGAATGGCAACCAGAGCTTTCTTGTGCAAGAATGTCCATGCAGCGTGGATGCTCTCTTGCGCAAAAGCATATTGCTTTTGCGATGCGCTTTGATGTGTGGATGTGCTTTTGTGTAAGAAGCTTTTGCGGAAGATCTCTTCCACAAAAAGCTTCTTGCACAAAAACGCTGCAGTGTAGCCGAAGCCAAAGATGATATGTAGCTGAAGCCAAAGATGATAAAGTCATTGTGGAGAAACTAAATGAATTCTTTTTTTCAGTATTCACAGTTGCAGATGCTAGGGAGATTCCCAAACCTGAGCCATTATTTTTAGGTGACAAATCTGAGGAATTGTCCTAGATTGAGGTGTCACTAGAGGAGGTTTTGGAACAAATTGATAAACTTGGCAGTAAGAAGTCACTGGGACCAGATGGCATTCACCCAAGTGTTCTGAAAAAAACCCAGATGTCAAACTGGAACTATAAACTGTGGTTTGTAACCTAGCCTTTAAATCAGCTTCTGTACCTAATGACTAGAAGATAGCTAATGTGATGCAAATATTTAAAAAGGGCTCTGGAGGTGACCCAGGCAATTTCAGACCGGTAAGTCTAACATCAGTATCAGGCAAATTAGTTGAAACTATAGTAAAGAATAAAATTGCCAGACACATAGATTAATAGAATTTGTTGGGGAAAAGTCTACAAGGTTTCTGTAAAGAGAAATCATACCTTACTAATCTACTAGAGTTCTTTGAGTGGGTCAACAAACATGTCAACAAGGGGGATCCAGTAAGTATAGCGTACTCAGATTTCCAGAAAGCCGTTGACAAGGTCACTCACCAAAGGCTCTTAAGTAAAGTAAATTGTCATGGGATAAGAGGAAGGGTCCTCTCATGGACCGATAACTGGTTAAAAGACAGGAAACAAAGGGTAGGCATAAACTGTTAAGTTTTCAGAACAGAGAGAGGTAACTAGTGGTGTCCTCCAAAGGTCCATACTGGGACCAATCCTATTCAACCTATTTATAAATGATCTGGAGAAAGGGGTAAACAGTGATCTGGCAAAATTTGAGGATGATATTAAACTGCTCAAGATAGTTAAGACCAAAGCAGATTGCAAAGAGCTTCAAAAAGATCTTAC